GAGGTTGTTACTCGTGAGAAGTTGAAGTTATGCTCAACTTCAGCTGGTCTTCTGACATAAAGACCAGGGCTTTGAGTTGTAGATGTTGAGGATATCATGTTTGAAGAAAATGTAAAAGGTCGGTACAACCGGTAGATGATGCAGCCAGTAGATGATTCAGTCAGTGTCCCAGTCTCCAAGAGGGAGAATTGTTGGGTAATGTGGAGACCTTGTCCACCACAATTTAATTAGACTCTTAATTAAGAATCTCACCTACCGCTCACCTATCTTCCCACTTACCGTTCAATTACCACATCTCACCTACCGCTCACCTACTTTCCACCTACCGCTCTACTGGTTTCTATAAATAGCATGTTTTAGCTTAAAAAAGATGTCAAGCCAAGCAAAGCCAAGCCAAGTTCTTTTGAGAGCTAAGAGAAAGAGAGGAAAAGAGAGATAGAAAGGGAGCGAAGAAAATAGAAATTTTCTTGTAAACGTCGAGGCGCTCGACGGTGTATATCCTCGAAGAAATAAAATCCTCTGCAGCTCCGTGGATGTAGGCAAATTTGTCGAACTACATAAATTTGTGTGTCGCTCTGGTGTTTTTTTCTTCGTACAATTTTACTCGTTCAATTTTTCGCTTTATTGTCGTCATTTTTCACAACACAACCATGATCATAATATGAAGGTTTCTTTGGAAATGAATATAAAAATTTCAAACAAAACTTTCTTTAGAAACAATTGCCCCTCCAATAATCAAAAGTATCGTTCACTTATATGCCCAATCCAAAGAGATCAATCCCCATGTATTTACAAGTCTTAACACCTAAATTTACATTTATAACAATCAAAAAGTCTCTCATAGCATATTGAAAGTTTCTTAATATATAGCTTCTCGTGCATGAGTATAAGGATGCACATGTAAAGAAATTAAAACTTAGGTGTTAGATATGTAAATACTCGAGGAATTGACGGTATGTATGTGAATCCTATTTTCTGCGTTCACAAATACACATAGATCGAGTGGTATGTGTGTAAGAAGTAAAATTTAGGTGTTATATATATGTAAATGCATAGAAATCGAGTGGTATGTATGCAAATCACCCTTGACTGAAGTTCAAACTTTCAGATTATTAAGCTTAAATCTCCACTTGCAGGTTATTAATAAAAAAAAGAAATACTTGGCATTCCCTCAGCGCACGTTTGGATGAGACAATCATTTATTCATCAGTAAATTGGAGAAATGCCCTAACTCTTCCCATGATAACTATGACAAAGCAACTTCTAGCTGTAACTGATAAAATAAGAAACACAAAAAAAATGATAGCAGTTGCATGAAGTACATATATTTTCCAGTATAAAAGGCAGCCCTCAGCATAGTAAAGCACTCCTACAGTTACCCTCATGAAGCAACTAGAACACCAGTGAGAACTTACGGAACTTAAATGTTTAAGCATATAACATCTACTGCAATCCCAGCTTATAGTAATCCAGAACAATTACTCCATTTAAATTAATTAGAGCATAGAAAGAATCACAACACGAATGCGCACTAACCGAATCCCAACTCATTCTTAGCACATCAACAACCAGAGAGGAATTTCAAGAAATAACATACAAAGTAGAGCTGAGAAGAAAGATTCCAAAGTATTGATGGTACGTGTGGTGATATAGCAATTTTTAAGACTCATGCTAATGACAAGGTTGTCTCATGTATGGGCTGTAGCCAGTTGAAGAGTGGCTACAAGCCGTGAAAACTGAAGAACAAAGAGCATTATCATCCATTTCTTCTCAAATCCCAAGTTTTTGACTCTTGTTACGATTGACAGATCATAAATAAGCATTGCAACATTCCTTTCCAACCATGAATGTTATTACTTAAATATATGACTTAGCACAGACACCTCAAGCTTTTAAATAACTGTGCAACTAAGCAAATAGTATGATCAATCAAGCAAGAATGTCGAGTAACCAGGCAAGAGATCCAAGCAACCAATAACCGATATCACTATCAAAACAGCAAAATAATGAAGGATACATATGGGCAAAATCCTTTCAAAACAAGGTTCATCCCAGATCTATCGGATTTACTAAGCCCTATTTAATCTAATCAGATTGTCAAATCCATAAACAACACCTCGGCGGCCTTACTAGGCTATGCTGAAGCAAAATGACTCAAGGGAACAACCAAGCAACAAATCGAGCAGGCAAGCCAAAAAAAAAAGAAAAATGTTGAGTAAGCAAGCGGGAAAGTCGAGCATTTGAGCCAAAACCGAGCAACCAACAGGAATTTCGAGCAAACCAGCAAATCAAATGAGAAAAAAAAAAAGGAGAGGAGATTAGAGGAGAGGAGATTCGGGAAAGAGGCTTACCCACTCAATGCTCAGCCCACAAAAAGAACTCAAGATCTCAAGCATTCACACAATATGAGCCAACCAAGAAACAAAACGCCAACAACCCCGACCCATCTCCCCTAGAGGGGTTTATATAGAGAAGAGGGAGGAGAGACTTACCCTCGACTTACCTAGGGGTGAGCCGAAGCTGAGGGGGACGGGCAAGTGGCGACAAGAGGTGCAAGTTTAGTAGCATAAAAAATGCAGAGAAAGTGGCGAGCGTAGCAGGGGGAGTAGTGCGAGTAACGGGCGCAGAAGAGAGGAAGTGGAGGTTGGTGGGGACCTCAGGCCGAAGCATCACAAAGAGAAGAGGCCGAGGGGAAAGATCGGGTGAGTTAGGCATTTAGGAAAGGAAATAAAAAAATGCCCCCTTTTTCTTTTTATTACTAATTTTATAATCTTTAATATTCAAAATTTCTCGATTCGCGCACTATTCGCTTGCACACAAAACTATATCAAAATGGGTGTCCTCCCTATGTAAATTTGATGTTCCGGACGCGCTCGCAAGGACCGTTTCGTCATCTGGGGTCGTTCGTACAACTTTATCGGAGATCGGGTCAAAAATGGGTGTCCTCCCCAGGTAAATTTGATTTTGTTCGAATTTTAGGTTCGTGACCGATTGTTTCAGAAATTGATTTAAGTTTTGATTAATTCTGAAGCCTTTACAGGTGTAGGTGACGCGAATTATGGTATTTATGTGTGTAAATGTGCAAATGGCGGAGTTTATGTAGAGTGAATGTATAAATTTTGGTGCTCGTAATGTATGTAAGTTGCAGGATAGATTTATGGAGTGATGTGAATGTGCAAGTCATAAAAGATTTCCCTAAGGCCTTTAAATCTTATGGGAACTCTCTTTGGGTCTCCACGTGCTGGTCCTAGCCACTCAACCCAACAGTGATAATACATAACCTTAGCCACTCAACCAGGTCGTGACAACTCGAAATCATAACCACTCGACTAAATGGGGATGGCTTAGGACCACCCATGTGAGGCCCCACAAAAGAGTTAAAAGATTGTTTGAGTTCTAAATAGCGTGGGTCCCGTCACTAGTCCTCTAGGATAGTCGATAGAAGAGTCTTATGGCTAGATCCTAAGCTTCTAATGAGAAATTAATTAGACCTCATCAAAAATGAGGTCAACATCCCTATCCATTGATCCAAGTTCACCCTTCATTCCACCTTAAAAATGGGATTAGATAATGGGAGAACGAGATAGAGCGTCTCTGACTGCACTGATTAATGATGTTCAAATGGCTAGAAAGTAAAAACACTTATTTTTTAGGAATCACAACAGAAATCATGTACATAAGTAGTCTAACAATCACAATTGTAATTTCGTTAATTTTAATCCTACTTTTGCAGCAGATGGGGCTCAAAATAACGACAGTTGATTTAAGCGGCAAATTTGTCGCCTCCATGAGGAATGATCCATGTTGAACACATGGGAAAACCATACTCTCGGTGGGCTTTTTGAGTAACCAATGTAAATCAAATAAAACATAGGATGTCCGAATAGAGTAATATAGGTCCTAGTCAAATAGTATTAATTAAAGCATATACTGAGCATGGCCACTATATCATCTTGCATGATGCAATCTAAATGAATGCCTAAGAAATACAACTGAAAAAACTCCCAAGGAACACATCCAAGCAAACTCCCAAGGGATGATCCCAAGCAAAACATTTTCAATGAGATATTCAGAAAATGTGACGTAGTGACGAACAATCACTCGTCGAAACTTTCAATGGATGCCTAAGGAATAAGTTCGAGCAAACTTCCAAGGGCCTCATCCAAGCAAAGACCAAAGGGATGTTCCCAAAAAAAGTTTTCAAGCAAGCATAAAAGAAATGCCTTGTAGTGACAACTAATTGGCCCCACAACTTGATCAACTTCCTTGCACAATTTGGAATGTGTAGCTCGACTAAAAAGGTGTGATGTTGAACTAAAGCTAGACAAGATAGTGTTAGTAAAGTTGGGATGCCCTCATAATAATATCATAATTCTAACGCTCAAATGGAAACATACCATATACGCACAAGCATAAACCACCACCAACAATAAATCTCCAGCATTGGGACACACCCTATAATTGACCAGTTAGGAGAAAACAAATCTAAACATTCATGAAAAAATTCATCAACCCATATAATGGCTACAAAGATAAATCAATCACCCCAAACACGCAACACGTATATAATTTGACATGATTAGTGGTTCCCTGTAAGAACATATGCTAGTGAGTACATAAATACAATGAAATATATGGAAATACGAGCAACGGTACACTGAGTTACTCTAAGAGTAGTCAAACAAAATAAACACCCATTCAGGAATGAGTTCAATCTTCATTTGGGTATATAGGCAATAACATTGTTGTGTACCACAATAGAAAAATTAAAAAATATTGCTCCCCTAAAAAGTTGGGAGGAGGTATGTTGAATGTTCCTTCTAGGATTCAACCACTTAATATCTTTACTGCATAAATAACTTTGCAATTAAGCTCTCCCTCTCAACAGAAAACCCAAACCACAAAATGAGCGTTACATGGGCAATAACAGAAAAATGGTGATAAATGGGGGTGGAATAGCAAATAATCATTTAGCAATATTTTTATTTAGTAAAACTTACAACTATTTCCATTGGTGCAAATGGTTTTGAAGTTGCATCTTGTGTGACTGGGATGGGAGGATAGTTAACACTTATTACTTGAAAATGTACCTGCAAGTAAGAACATTCCGAAAAAAGAAAAAACGAAAATCAATTGAGGCTTATTCTGTCTTATATAAAATAGAGAACAGGGTGGGGGTGGAGCGTGGGGGGAGAGGGAATAAGTACCTCCTCATTTAAATCCAGAGATAAATCTTCCGAGTTGTAATCCCATAGCCAGATGCCATCATCTCTCCTGCACATGAAGCAAATAGGTTAGTTTGTATTTAGAAAAGAACGAAATGGATTAGCCTGCAGTTTAGTAGAGGCCACCAAAAAGAACTATAAACGTTTTTGCAATGAAAGAAAGCTTACACTTCAAAAGTATACTTCAATTCAAAAATCTTTGTAATCATATAATATAAAGGTGTGTACCCAAAAGATCTCAAGCGAACAATCAAGATTTTGTAAAACTTGGAAGAAAGATCATTACCTTTTGCATGGCTGTTGTAGTTGATGCACAGGAACGTATATATCATTGTAGAAACCAAGAGATACTGCAAAATGATAAGCTAATTGAATGCAGTACCCAAAAAAAAAAAATTACATATATTTCTATTAGAACATTAAGATTTTAACCATGAACGTTATCCTTAATGGGCTGGACTTAAAAATACAGGTGCAATTTGTGTGCCAAGAAGTTTGCTTAACACACAGTTTTGAGAAGTGAACCAAAAACCTACAAATACCACGCTAATTTCTAGACTTGTGCCTTGTGAGCCGTGAATCGTGCTTTCTCCTAAGCATTCAAAGCTTAGGGCTTTTCAAACCTAAATTTAGCAATGAATCTATAACATTCTCTAGCTTGAATTCAGATTAATTCTTCCAACCAATAAGAGTGCAAAACCTCTTTCACTGTTTTACATCTTTTCCTTTGCATTTATCAAAAACTTGTACATCAAATTGGAATAGAAGTATTTTTTAGTCTTCCTAAGTGTACTTACAGAGTTTTTCATTAACATAAAGCATTATAACTAGTATATAAATGCCCTTTGAAACCTTTGATGCATGCTCTGATAGTATTTCGATACAATTTGGGACCAAAATCAGCAAACAAATTATATGAAATATGTGGAAAAACCCAAATTAGGGATAATTTGATTAATCTCTGTCGGCAGCTAAAAAAAGATTGTTTGGGGTTGGTCGCCCGTAAGAAGCTGTCGGTCGCCGGAATTGAAATCCCGTCGCCCGCTTCGGAAGAATGTTTAATTTATATATATATATATATATA